AAATCCTTCTCTATAAAATAATTCTCTCTAAAACAATTCTCTGTAAAATATTCTCTATAAAATAATTCTCTGTAAAACAATTCTCTGTAAAATATTCTCTATAAAATCATTCTCTATAAACGACATTCTATATAATTGTTTTCTCTTTAAAAGTTTCTCTATAAAATAAATTCTCTATAAAATCATTCTCTATAAACGAAATTCTCTACAAAATCATTCTCTATAAATGAGATTCTCTATAAACGACATTCTCTATAATTGTTTTCTCTTTAAAAGTTTCTCTATAAAATAAATTCTCTATAAAATCATTCTCTATAAACGATATTCTCTACAAAATCATTCTCTATAAATGAGATTCTCTATAAACGACATTCTCTATAATTGTTTTCTCTTTAAAAGTTTCTCTATAAAATAAATTCTCTATAAAATCATTCTCTATAAACGATATTCTTTATAAACGACATTCTCTACAATTGTTTTCTCTATAAAAGTTTCTCTATATTTGCATTCTCTATAAAAGATTCTCTGTAAAGACGGGATACCCTATTATAAGATGCAAAATAAGCTAAAAGATAGAAATGGTACTTACATCTCCGCCGCCCCGAAAATTAAGATAAACAGGTGGAAAAACTATCGATGAATATTCCCGGAATAAGTCATAAAACTTCTGGGATCTCACCTCCAAATCAATAATATCTTTTATAATATAATACAAATTTAACAAAATTTTTTTATATATTGTTAGAATTAATGGAAAAGGAAAAAATATTATATAAGATAAACTGGATTAAAAATTTTTTAAGATTTAAGGTAAATTATAACAAATACGACCAATATTTCATTTATTATATACTGAAGAATGAGTACCATATCTATATAAGTTTTTCTTTAAGAATGCTACCACCTATGGAAAAATTTGTCTTTTGCTAGAACCCGGAGTTGCCAAACATCTTTTCGCCAGTTTTGCCATAACTAGAAATTGGCCTTGATAAACCGACAGCCACAATAAGTTACCCCCCCCCCTTAAATGGTTGTATATTTGTTATATTTATCTATTCGCCATAAAAGGACTAAAAGTATATTGTATTTAAGATACTCATACATACTTTTGCTATTTTTAATAAGATACCTGTATTATATCTAAGATATATTTTTTGATAAGAATTTTAGATTTTTTTAAATGACCTAACCAACTGTTTTGATTTTTTTAAATGACCTAACCAACTGTGTTCAGGCATTTTTGGTTTAAAAAGACACTTAACAAATTTTACCAGAAATATATTACATATTAGGTTATGATATGACCTAAATATCAAAAATATAATTAAAAACTTTCGTAACCTAAACGAAAAGAGAAATAATCTCTTTTCAATATAAAAATACCTAATTCATTTTTTCGAATTTACCAAAATTTATTAATTTTTTGAAGTTAAAGAAATTATAAAAATTTAATAAATTTTAGCTTAATGAAATTTTTTTGGGAAAAAAATAAGCAATATCAATTTATATTTTTTAAATTATAATAAGAAATGGGCAGTTATATTAATCAAAATGGGAAATATAATAAAATAATCCTTTCTTTCACTCGGACAAGGGGAATCGCTGTATTTATATAGTAAAATTAAGAAGAAACCTGTATGGAGGGAGTTTGGGGTAGCAAGCTGGAAGAGGGTGATTCATTACATTATATTAAGCGAAAAGATTTTTGTTATATTTATACAAAGATTGCAGATTTATAATGCTTATCAGTATCATTAGCATCTATGTGGACACCTTGGCAAGTGGGTGGAGAGCGCTAGCTCAGTGATGAGGTCAGTTTGCTGCCATATAAGCCATCAAATTTTTATAAAATTTCAACCCCCATAAATATTTTATAAGTCGACGCCTCTACTATATTTACGTATAGAATGAGGTTCATCACCAGCAAGTGGTAGTGATAAATGGCCATATTTATAGTAAATTGAGCCGGTTCTTAAAAGGATATAAGCACAATTTTTAAAGAAAAGTATCACCCTAGCCTCGATCGAAGTTTAAACTTAAAGGAGAGTTCAATCTTGAAATCAATCAATTTGTGCAAAAGCGTAGCTAATATTTTATACCCTTAGGATCGAGACGGTTTGACAACCTTCAGGCAAGAAATAGCTTAATTTAAACAAAACCCTTTAAATGTTTAAATAGGAATTTGAAATGTTTAAATAGGTAGGTTGTTAGGATTACTCAATCAACTTTGAAAGAAATAATAAATTGAGATATTAAATATATCTACTGTAAACGAATGCGTTCATTTTGAACGCGTTAGTGCAAGTTCGTTTTTTTGAAATGATGAACGGCGTTCCTTTATTTTTGACAAACTTTGAACTTGAACGCGTTGCTTTTTTTTGACGAAAGCATTCGATTTTAACGTTCGTCCAATTTTAAAAACGTTTTTTATTTTTATTCAAAAAATTTAATATATTTTTTAATCAGCTGTTTTTCATTTTTCACATTTCAATTTTCTTAAACACGCCATTATTATATTTTTTAATTTGAATATTATTGTTTATTTTTAATTTAATAGATTAGCATAAGCATGGATATTATTATTTTATCATCTCATCATCTGATCCTGAAAATTCAAAATCAGATGAATTAACATTACCATGGCCCAAATAAATATTTTACAGTAACATCCTATAATGAAGGAACTAATTCAATACTTACCAAATGCAAAATGTGCACAAGTATATCAGTTTCAAAATCTTCAAGTTCCAATTTAAGAATAATTTATTTTAGATTGTTCTAAGTAAAAATCATTAAATTTTATATATTTATATACATATAAAATGGTTGATTTTATTTAGAATTTATTTTTAAAGTCATTTTTCTGAAATTATAATCTAATCACTATTATTATCAAGGTTTTTATATTTTAATTGTTGAACACCATTTGAAGTATAAATTTATATATTGTAGAAATAATTAACTTTATATGATATATAAAAGTTTCAAAAAATGATTTCTTTGAATCTACTATACCTAGGATTTTATATTTTTATTTACAATATTAAGAAGCTAAAAATGATAAATTTAATATTTTTATAAAAATATTTAACATAAAATAATGTTTATTGAATTAAAAGAATCTGAAAATATCTAATATAATCTCCGTAATCAAGAAATGAACGTTATCGTGTATAATCTTAATGTTATTTTTCTATTAACTTTCCTATCATCTTAAGTTAATTTTATTTTTTCTATCAACCATTGTTAATAAATCGAAGGAAACAATATACCTCTAATGTTAAATTATTTTTTTTTAAGAAAAGAAATATCTTTTTTTTAATTTTTTTATACATCAACGAGATTCGATCTCCAGACTTAACGTTCCATAGGCAAACGTTCCTTCCAACTAAGCCCCCTTCTATCTTAAATGTTGTAATACAATTCTTCTTATATATCAAACTATATTTTGATAAAGTAATTTAATAATATCAATATTTTTTTTTTTATTGGAAGCTCCAGGCTTGGTAAAAAAATTTCAATATTATTATTAGTTGGCAAGGTTTGAGAAATTTTTTTTAAAATTATAATGGGCTTGGAAAATATTTTTATAAATAATATTGGGCTGGGCTTGGGGAAAATTTTTCAAATTATTATCAGCTTGGACACTTGGGGATTTTTTTATTATTACCTATGGATCAGACATTGACCTAAAACAATTTTTTTTGCAGGCCTGGGATCGGCCTGGTCAAAAAATCAAGGCCCATATTTTATTCGAGTTCTCAACTACCAAAATTATTATAATCTTTGGTTGAGGTTGGGAGAATTTTTTCAAAATTATTATGGCCTTGGACCTTGCTTGGGAATTTTTTCATTATTAAATATTAGGCATAGGTGATCAGTAATATTTTAACAAGTAATATTGATATGGGTATCAAGTAAAAGCTTAAAATATATGACTCAAAACATAGCATTTACACTTAGTTTTAATAAATTGGACTTGGCCTGAGGGGGGGGGGGGGGTTATAAAGAATAAAAATTGGATATTATTTTTAAATAAGAGGTAACAACTGAGTAAGAAGAAAATTCTCCTAACTAACGGGAGCTCTGGTACTCTTAGTTATATATTTTCCATTTTGCCCATCAAGAAAGACGGGTTATCATACTTTAAATTAAATATCTTATGAGAGACATTTATTTATATTATATTAAAAAATTTATCATAAAGTTTTGAAGGAACGAATGAACGTAAACGTTCCTTTTTTTTGAAAGTGAACGAGTTGATTTTTGTCAATGAACGTTGAACATATTCGATTTTTAGAAATGTTTACAGCACTAAATTTATCAGATTATTGAGTGTCCTTTTGACAATGAACCATTTTTTACAGATTAACTGATATTTATAAAAATGAAATCATTAAGGTAGTTCTAATGAAAAGTTTAAATATTGTAGATACTTATTCCTGCATTGGTAGATAATTGAGCGAATTTAAGAGTAAAATTTGTTAAATTTTATGTTCATCTATTAATGAACCTTCGATATCGGAGTGTATTCTAGATCCATATATAAAATAAGGAAAAGGAATAATGGCGAGGAAAATAAAATCTTTTCAAAAAATATACTGCCCAAGGGAAAGAAAGAAATGAAATATATAGAGAAAATTGTTTAATTCATATTTATATATTATTTTTTTGCAAAGATATCGGTAGTGTTAAATTTGTAACATTATTTTTAAAATATTATATAAAGAATTTATTCATATTAGCAAATAAAAATTATTTTATACATATCATATTTTTAATAAATATTAAAAAAATATAGACCCCCCCCCCCCTTCTTTCTTTAAAACACTTTAAAAAAATTATACTTTATTACATATAAAAACATATTTAAACATTTTAGATTTTTCCTAAGCATAAAATCTTGACCTTAATTCAATTTCTAGCTCAAACAGAAGTTAGAACCATTAATAAAGCAAATATAAGTTTATAAGATAATTTATCTAAAATGACATTGTTACTTGTTCTATTAATAATGGGTCCTTTGTCAATATCGTCATATGACTTAATAATATATTCGTACTATTTGTTGAAAATATATTTATTTGATTATTTTTTTCTGCATTTGTGTCCTGAGATTTTGAGTATAAATTTTGATAATCTAAAAAATTGATCTAGGTATTAATGCTTATATATGGAAAAAGAGATCTTACTATTTTAAAGCAAAAATTCGGAGCTGCTGAAATTGTGTCTCTTAAAGGAAAATTATTTTGAAACCTTGCTACATTAGTAATTACAGGTAGATAATTGATTTCAAATACATCGTTATCCCCATCAACATATATTCCCTAAAATAAAAGTAGTGTTTTTAGAAGTTACTTTAAAAAGTAACTGTTAAATAGTTACATCCTACATTTGTATTTCAAAATTAACAAGCTACATTGCTAGTTTCGTTATTATTTATATAATTCATCATTTATAATTCAATTTTTTTTTAAATACAAAGTAATTTTGCCATCTATAATATTTTTATAATAAAGTTAATTTAATTGAAAATAGATTTGAGTAAAGAGATAAATGCACTGAAAGAATCATTCGAAATATTATATTTATTTGTACCAAAATATAATATAAATAATAAACTTTATTTATTTTTTCCCTAAAATATAACTTATTAAATTTTTATTTGACTTACAATATACTATTTTCAAATTTGGTATTTAATAAAAAGTATGCTCTTTAGAGAATTGGGTAGGCGCTTAATATAGTGGGGCATTGTATATTTATTAAACAATAATTATAAATATGGGAAATCGTCATATAAAGATAATGAATGATATATATTATATATAAATTAGTTACTCTTATAGTTGCATTCCAAAAATGTGGTTATTAGTTACTTCTGTAAATATTCCAAAAAATGTATTTATCAATTTTAAATTTTTTTAGATAATATTAATTGATTATTATACACTTTCATAAATGAATGCAAGCTTAGTGCTGAAATTTAAGGAACAAATTACTATAAAATGAACAGATATTCAGATACAATTAGCTTGCTACTAAATATGTCACTTTTATCGAGAAATTTTATTGTATCAGTTAAAATAGATCCCTAACTTGCTAAGTTCCTAGTAGTATTATCAATGGGTTTCATTTTTAAAAATGGTTTGATAAGGATTTTAGCCAAAATAATATTATGTAAGCCTGGAGATTTTAATCATAGATAGCATAAAGTAGTGTTGTTAAGAATTCCTATTTAAGTAGATTTTTCAAAACGGCCCGATTAAGATATTAGCTAAAATAATATTATATAAGTATCGAGATTCAAATAGATGTTCAAGCATTTCTGCCTTCTATGAGCAAAATCTTAGGCTTAGTTAATGTTATTTTGGCTATAATCTTAATTGGACCGTTTTTTAAATAGACAAGAATTAGGATTTTAAACAATACTAACAGAAAGGTTAGGACTTCTATTTGCAAAATCTCGCTTACATAATATTATTTTGGCTATAATCTTAATCGGACCGTTTTTTAAAATCGACCTAAATCGAGCCCTTTAACACTAATTCTAGGTCTCTTGGTTACAATACAAGTAAATTTTTTTAAGTATAGTAAGTAGAGATCTGCAAAACTCGGCCATACATGTCCAAAATCCTCACTCACAAACCGGGATATGCAAATTTAAATCAAATTTTAAAACGCCATGCCAGACAACATTTTATAACAAGCTGGGATGGGCCAGACAATGCATAATAAAACACTGTCAGGATGGATTGGACAATTTATATATAAAAAATCAGGCAGCGCCTCACAAATCTCTGATTATTTGTAAAATTTTAATAGGCCAGCCTGGGCATTAAAATTTTGATATATAATTTTTAAATTTCATATTTTGAAATTTTTTTAAATAAATAACCATATGCTTCTTTTATATTTTAAGAACCGTCTAACTAAAATATTAAAACTATAAATAAAGTATTACTTCATAAAAAATCAAACAAATTATTTATATTATTAATTTACAAATACAAAAAAACAGTTATTTTAAAAGAAATTAAATAAGCATAGGAAAGATAAGAGCCTTAATTAATATGGGAAGACTTTTTATAAAAATTTAACGAGCCAGGTTGAGCCTGAGACCCCGATCCTACTTCCATATGCAAGTTTGCATCCTTCATCTATCATAATAAATTTATCACCACTTGGATTTTCTCTAACAAATCATCCAAAGTAAGAATAACATGATGGTCATAGAAAGGGGGGGGGCAATGAAGTATAAACAGAACCTAAACTTAGTTACAACCATGTGTGGTGAACCTGAAAGAAATTGCTAATTTATTATTTTATCACATCAGATAAAGGGGTTACTGGTTACTTGAATAATAAGTAACAAAAGATCCTTTAACACTGCGTTTTTGTTTTAAAGAACTTTTACAGTTTACCTTTTAATACTTAATCTCCTTAAAAGATAAGGTATCAATAGAATCTGGATAACATCCACGATCTACTAATTCTTTTTTTTACCAAAAATTTTTAAAAAGAGGTCTTTATATTGATATTTAGTAAGACTTAAGTTTTGTAAACGAAAATTGGCTCCCCAAGTAGAAAAATAAGGATATTGACATCGAATTTATTAAATTTAACCTTGATAAATTAACCAGTTTTTTTTATCCGCTAAATTACGACCATATGAGGTTAAAATCCATATAAATATTTACCTGTTCATCACCAATAGAAGACTATGGTAGGTTAACATAATAGCCAGTAGATACATTATATTATATTTCATAATTAATTTTAATCAAAGACCTGCAGACCCAACCATGAGCCTGCCTGGAACACGGGCTGCTCATTAATTTTTTAAAATACCCAGGCCACGCAGGGCCTAAAATATTTTCTATTAAATGCATGGGTCAGGCCTAATATTTTAAATTGCCATTATTATCTATAAAAATTACAAATAATATTTATTTAAAATTGTGTATCATATAGAACAATATATCATTCACTTATCATATTTCCATTTTTTGATCCTTAGAAAATATTTCTAATAAGCAACAAAATACACTCAATATTTAATTAATTCTCTTTCTCTTTGGGTTATTCCATGTCAAATGAGCAAAAAAATCAAGATTTTCGACCGACCCCTTTCAATTTCGATAAAAAGTTGTAGACTGGTTATATATGTTCCCATTAGATTATAAACAAAATTTTAGCGCATTAGCAACTATATTAGCGGAGATAATCGGGGTTAAAGGTCCAAAAAATGTCTTTTTTTGCTTTTTACTGATGTCAAATAATTAGTTTTTAATTTAAAACTAAATATGATCAAATATTGAATATAATATCAATAGCTAAGTTAATAATTGATGATTATGGCGAAAACATCAAAATTAATTTTTGATAAAATATGGGTCATCTTATGGTCAGTTGAAAACTTGAAATTAATATTTCGAAATGTATATGATCTCCGATTTTTAATTTTTTTAAGTAATATTATCCGTTTACTATTTTTCTAATAATTTCTTCAACAATTAGCATGGCTGGATATTTATTTAAAAAAATATTGCGATTTTTATACTTTTAAAAAAATAGATGGCGCTATTTATAATAGTTTTAATATGTTAAAATTCATTTTTTTATTGATTAAAAATATTTTAATGTATAATATATCATAAAATTGGATTATATAACTTTGTAAACCTTATTCCCCTGAGATATTCGCAGGATAAAAAAATTTAATAATTTTTTTAATATTTCAATGTAAATTAAAAATAATTAAAAAATCCGACTAGCATACGAGCAAAAAGGCAGGATTAAAGGAGTGCAGGAAAATTATTAAGGGAAAAATCGAAAATCACATTAATTATCAGGCATACCCCCCCCCCCCTGACTAAGTCATACCCATCAAGATCAAGAATGTTATGAAATTGTCATTATCTTAAATTATTAAAATAACCAGAGATAAAGAAAATTTCGAAGATTTTGAAAAATTTTTTAAGTAATAAAAATAAACAAAATTATAGTTCTGATGAAATAAGCCGACTCATGCCTGGAATAAAAGATTGTGTATCTGTTAAAGGCGAGAAAGAATCAGTCCAAAGATTTATATTAAATAAGCTTAAATAAATATTCAAGATGTTTAAGGAAGAATACCCAAATATATCAATTGGATTCTCTAAATTTGCCGAACTTAGACCAAAAAACTGTATTTTAGTTGGAGCTAGTGGCACACACACTGTTTGTGTCTGCGCCATTCATCAGAATGTGAAATTGATGACAAATGTAGAAAAATTTAATAGATGGGGAATTTTTAACAATTCTAGATTATTCTGAGAATTATTCCTTCATTTTACAAGATGAAGTTCAGGGATTTCATTGGAACAACGTGCAGGCCACTATACATCCATTTGTAGCATATTATAAATCTGGAGAAGAATTAAAAAATATAAATTTTGTTATTTTATCCAAATTTAATTCTAAACCAGAAAAAATAATATATTTTTCAGATGAAGCCGCGTCTCAATACAAGAATCGCAAAATTTTTCTGAACATATGTCTTCATAAATACGATTTTAATATTCCTGCCGAATGGCATTTCTTTGCCACTGCTCACCGCAAAAATGCATGTGACGGTATTGGAGGAACTGTCAAAAGATTAGTTGCCAGAGCTAGTTTTCAAAGGCCAAATAAAAATCAAATCCTAACCCCATTAGAATTATATAATTATGCTAAAGAAAATATTAATGGAATTCAATTTGAATATGTATCCAATCAAGAATATATCGAAGAGGAATTAGCCCTTCGTAAAAGATTTAATGCACTGCTTATACATCGGACCCAAAAAATTCACGGGGTTATTCCCATTGATCAAAATAGACTAAAAACCAAAATATATTCTAATTCCAAAAAATATAATATAAAACAAGTTTCGTATTTAAATGAGAAAATTAATTTTTAAAATATTAATGGATATATAACATGTGTATATGATGATAAGTGGTGGTTAGGATATATAATCGATAAAAATGATATAAATAAAGAAGTAAAAATCCAATTTTTACACCCTTGTGGACCTTCAGCCTCATTTAAATTTCCTCTGAAAGATGATATTTTAGTGTTGCCTAAATCTCATATACTCTCGCTGGTCAATCCTTCTACTCCTACCAGTCAAACATATATATTATCTCCCGAAGAAATCTCAAAGCTAGCCAGGCTTTGTATTCCTTTAGATGAAGTAAGATTTAATTAATTTATAAACTATCTAAATTAGGCTAAATTTGTTAAGATTTTAAAAATTTATGATCTGAATTACAAATAAAAATATATAATGGACATTGTAATCGATTTAGTATGATATATATACATTAAAATATTTTTAATCAATAAAAAAAATGAATTTTAACATATTAAAACTATTATATATAGCGCCATCTATTTTTTTTAAAGTATAAAAATCGCAATATTTTTTAAAATAAATATCCAGCCATGCTAATTGTTGAAGAAATTATTAAAAAAATAATAAACGGATAATATTTCTTAAAAAAATTAAAAATCGGAGATCATATACATTTCGAAATATTAATTTCAAGTTTTCAACTGACCATAAGATGACCCATATTTTATCAAAAATTAATTTTGATGTTTTCGCCATAATCATCAATTATTAACTTAGCTATTGATATTATATTCAATATTTGATCATATTTAGTTTAAAATTAAAAACTAGTTATTTAACATCAGTAAAAAGCAAAAAAAGACGTTTTTTAGACCTTTAACCCCGAATATCTCCGCTAATATAGTTGCTAATGCGCTAAAATTTTGTTTATAATCTAATGGGAACATATATAACCAGCCTACGATTTTTCATCGAAATCGAAAGGGGTCGGCCGAAAAGTGATTGATTTGACATGGAATGACCCCTCCAATATTCAGAAAATCATGTATGTTGACATGGAAAGAGTACTAAATGACTGATACCAGTGGCGTATCCAGGATTTTTCTATAGGCGGGGAAATTTTTTGGGGAGTCTTCGCCCCAAAACCCCCTTTAGCTGGCCTTCGGTCAGCTTTTTCCCTGCCTTCGGCCGGGTCATATCTTTGAGCTATTTTCTTAAATTATTCACAATTATAATAATTATATTAATATTTTTAGCTTTTATTTACTAATTCGCGCTTATGAATATTTAAAGGAGAAATAAAGGTTATAACCCAATTTTTTATTAATTTATGTTAGGTATATTATATTAAATATATTATTTTTTTTAAATATAAAATTGAAATAAAGTTTAGTGTCATTTTTTTTTTATAAAATTGGCTTTAAAAACTAGCTTCAGCTTAAATTCTCATACAAATAGAATAAACATTTCTTTATTAAAAATAATAGTTGTGTGTGTAAAATATTGACTAGAAAATTTTTTAAAAACAAGGTTTTATAACATAATCAAATCAATATTATACACAAAATTTATTAAATACTATAATTATAATGCGATTTATAAATTTCGTGGGAAATCTGCCAATTCATCAAGAATTTGGTATTTCGTTGGAGCCAAATCTCTGTGAATATTTAACATAGCTTACCCATTTAGCCGAGATTCGGAAGTAGTATTTCGTAAATAAGTTTTCAACCTTCTCAAGTTGGAAAAGGTCCTTTTATTCGTACATGTTGTAATAGATAAATATGCAAGAATATAAAACAACTTCAAAATATTTGGAAATTGAGCCAAGGTATCCTTACACCGATTGAGCGCATCAATAGCATGATAGCCCAACGTAGTAAACATTTATACTACAATTCGAATTCCCTGCTTAAATGATTTTAGTATCAATATCATATGAATAAAATTTTGCTAAATATTTTACCAATAGTGGCATCAGAAAACGAAGAAGGGTCTTTAGGTAATAAAATTTGAAGATTGCTAAAGACTTGTTTTTTATCTAAAAACCCTATTTTGATTTGCGATAAAAAAGTATCTAAGAATGGGATGAAAATGAATATTTTATAATATTCATTAGTTGATTCAACATTTATATTACATCAATTGCCTAGGTGCTAGAAGAGGATTATATCATAAGACCAGATACATTTAGACATACTTTTATTTAACGCTTTTTTATATTATAAATAAAAATATTTGAATGCAAAATTTACTATATTTTAAATATATATATTAAAAAATATTAAGACTATTATAATAAAAAATAATTTATATATAAAATATTAAAACTTATATATAAAAAAAATATATATATAAATATTCATTAAATATTATGCCCGAGTCTATCAATAAACCAGACAAATTTTGATATTACAATGCATCACAAGGAATCTGCCATTTTTATTATCAATGGAATTGGTTAATTTTATTTTACAAAACTAATTTTTAAAATTTATAGTGATGAAGAGGAAGAAGTAACAATCAATGAAGCATCAACAAGTTCATATATTGTTTTTCCATGGCCAATTTATAGAGCATATTTTAAAATAATATCTCAAAATAAAGAAAACAAATCTGATAGTAAAATGTTTGCCATGTCTAGCAAAAAATATGAAATTTCAGTTAGCATTATCTCAATTTACAACATTGTAAAACATTTAAGGGTATAGATGCTAAATAAATGTTTACAATTGTAATTTTAAATTTTAAGAGAAAACATCAAACACTGTAAATTAAAAAACAATTAATATAAAAATTAGTTGATGAATTATCAAGGTCTTCAACTGATTGCAAACAAATAACCTGTGAAAAAAAAACAAATAATTTATTTCTTTCAGTACCCCACAGCAGCACATATGATTGTTAATAATGATTTAAATCTTGATACTCAACATATTTTAAATAATTTTTTCATTAAAGAATATCCTATATAAAATTGTTATTCATAAAATATAACACCACAATCCCTTCAAGAGCTCTGGTATAAGGCGTTTTATTGTGGCTAAAAATGTCTTTACAGATAAGCGAGGATGCCTGAATGATTAAAATTTTGAAAATATTACTGAAATTTAATAATTATTTATAATCATTTAATCATATATTTTCATATATTATATTATTATATTAAAATCTAAAAATCATTATATTAGTTATATTTTGATAAATGTTATATCTTGTCAATAAAGTTTTTAGCTCATTTCAAGAATTTTCACAAAGAATCCTAATTTATTGTGCAAACCTTGTATAAGAGTATAATAAAAATAGTATCTGTATTTAGATAACTTTTTAGACAATTAGATCCATTTAAAAAGTATCTTTTAACAACTATGATATTAAATTACAAGAGGAACCATCAATCAGTTGAATTAAAAGTCAGGTGATTTAAACTAGAGATCTGCAAAAGTAGGCCCAGCCCATACCCAGCTTGAACTGGGCTTAATTTTTTTAAAAATATTAGGCCAAAGCAATTTTTTGAAATATATTTAGATTTATCAATTTTATATTGAATTTTTTAAGTAAAATAAAAATATTTGATTTTATTTATAGAACTAGGGGATATATAACATATGTCTTTTTTTAAGTAATTATTAAAATTAATTTCTATATTTAAATAAAATCAGGGCTGGTAAAAACCAAGGCCATAGAAAAAATTTACATCCTGACCAAAAATTTTTTTAAAGAAATCTTGGTGGACATCAGGTCAAAATTTTTTTTTCCAAAATAATCTAGGCTGGCCATTCCGTGCCATGCAAATGCTACCTGCCTCTAGTTTAATCAAAGCCAATATAATAATTTCTAGATATAAGATCTAATAGTAATCATTCTTTTTTAATGTTCTCTTTTTTAATAATATAATAATCACATTTATTCCAATATTAAAACCTGACTTTCATATAATGGGAATATTTTCTGAAATCTCTCTACATATTTATTATATGTAATATTGTCTGCTTTAGACCCCTGGTCCATCAAATCTCCCAAAAATATAACATATTTTGGTTTGGTTTTTGTAAAGGCATACCAATATGCCAAGTAAAGATATCTTTATGTGAATATATTTACTTATAAAAGTTAATATATAAACCTATCAGAATCCCATATTGCTATAAAGTCCAAAAAACAATTGTTAAATTCTTTGCCTAAAATTTGAGGATCAGCAATTATTAAATAGTTAGATGAATTTATTACATTATTAAAATGATTTAAAAAATAAAAATTTATATTTTCATACAACATAATTAAAAATATCAAGGATATTAACCATTTTAATATAAGGTACAAATTGATTTTCTTTCTCATGGTAAAAATGACTCCTATTAACATATGCTACTAACAGCTGTACGAAAAAGTTTCCAATAAAAATTTATTTATAATCCTGTCAGATATGACAGATTACTAATAAAAATGATAAATCTTATTAAAAAACCTTTTTAATATAGATTAACCCTAACCCATGTATCTCAAACCTTTAATAAATCCTAACACATATATTTATAACCTTTAATCCTACATACTTTTAACTTTAAATATATTTCATCCAATTAAAAAATTTCTTTGAGTTCACTAATATAAGGTATCAAGTCAATTCGGCGCGGTGACAATTTGGCGCAGCCTCAATTCGCCGCGGCGACAATTCGGAGCATATCTAATACAGGTGCAATTTATTATAAATTTATTGGTATAAAAAAAGGATGATTAAATAGAAGTCATTTTGAATGTTGGTCCTATTAATTGTTTCTTCATATTTTTTGTACAAAAATTTTAATTTTATTTACTAAATGAGTAATATCAATAAAAATTTAATAATATCAAAAAAAATTAACAACCAATATTCTAGAGATTTTGAGCATAGATGTAAGAAAGGTTTATACCTCTATTTCGAATCTTACATATTATTTTGTCTAAAATCTTAATCGACCGTTTTTAAAAATAGACCAAATCGGCCATTCACAGAACTAATGTTGATCCATTTTCAAATTAAGACTGACTCATTTTTTTGATTAATTAAAAATCCATAAAATATTTCTAATAATCTTTTTAAGAAATTTATATTATGTTTAGGCTAATTTTATTTTATTATAAAATAATCAAAAATGAATTAAAGCACAAATTTTTTATTTATTTATAAAATGACTATAGAAAATATAAATATACTATATAAAAATTGCTAAAATATGTTTTTTTTAATAATATTATATAAAAATTAGTATCCTTTACTTGGAAATAAAAAAAAGATTGCTGGATAAATTACCCAAGATCCGCTTAGAAAAAAGTTCTGTCTGGAAATGGTCTTAAGAAGAATTACTATTATTTTTACTACAATAATAATTTACTATTATATTTACTAATTTAAAAAAATATACATGAGGGAATTAAATTTAATATTGCTTATTTTTTTTAATAAATAAAGAGAAAATCATGCGAATGAATTGTGTAATTCTACGTTAAAAAATAAGCACAAGGAAGTAAATAAATAATGCTTATTCTTTTAATAAATAAAAGAATTTTTTTTTCCTTTCTTAAAAGCAATAATTAATGTTTAATTGTAATTATAAAAAGTATCTGTATCACTATTTCAGAATCTGTATATATTTATAGATACTTTTAAGATAATTTTGATATGCTTTTATATAACGCTTTTTTATCTAAAAAATAAAAATATTTAAGTGCAAATTTTATCTTATATGTATGAGCCAATGACATATAATATAAATAATATTATTAAAATATTAAGACTAAAATATATATACATATGTCATATTGGGATATAGAATCCACGGGGATTCAGAATCTCTCTATTTTGAATCATTTACTATGGGTGATTTTGAAATTTAAAAAATCTGATTTCACAGGAATTGTGTTTCAGCATGCGTAGAGTACCCGAACTATAAATTTCAAACAATTTTTTCATGAACTTTAGAACTACTCCTAATTTATATTAATTTTTATATGGATTTTTCATATAAATTAAAAATATAAAAATGTCTATGGCGGAAATTTATAGGGTAAATATTCTACACATGCTAGAATACATCTCCAGATAAATCGAATTTTAAAATGTTTTAAATCTCCCTCGGTAGAGGATTTAAAGTCGAGAGATTCCGAATATCCACGGATTCCATATCCTAATATGACTTATTTATAATATTAAAAAAAGTTATATATAAAAACAAGTTATAAACATTATATTTTTCCCATTATTATCTAGTTCAAGATTGTGAAGGATATTTTTATCATGCAAAGGAATTTATAAGTCCTTACTTAGCCATGATCCCCCATTAATTATAAACAATACCATTGATGCACAAAATTATTTTAAGCAAATAAATTTATTTAGAATTGTGTAAAATAATTTTATAGATATTCCGTAACTTTTAATGAATAAATTATAAGACTAATGTAAAATTTTTTTTTTAAATTTTGAATCTATTCTTGATTTCGATTGAAAAAAACTTATTGAAAAAAACTTATTGAAAAAATTAAAAATCTAGCAATAACTTTTATAATTCAGTACTTGATCATTATACTCAAAAACAACAGTTTATAAATAAATATAAATTTTCTATTGCTTCTTTAATACTAAACTTGACGCTTTGTCACTGTTATATAATATGCATAAAGATAGTCAATATTTTAAACAAATTTATTTTTAATGTGATTATTTGAAATTTCGCTATTATTTTTAAGTTTTTATCAAGGGTTTTATCATTAATAGTTGAACACAATTTAAAGTATAATAAAAAAAATTTTTTTGAAACTATTAGTTTTAACATTCCTAATATATTGGGTTGAAAGATATGATATTTATTTATATTAAATGAAATTTAAAAAAAAATTTATTCATAAAGTTTTGAACGAATGTGAACGCGTTCCTTTGAAGGTGAATTTGAAAGTTAACGCGTTCGATTTTGTTAATAAACGTTAAAGGCGTTCGATTTTTTTTGGGAAATGTTTACAGCACTACTTCCTGATCATTAATTTTTAAAAATATTTCATCAAATAAATAATTTCCTTCAACTAATTATTGAGTTGTTATCGTATTAATTGCAAACCTGGAAACCGACTATTTAAAAAACGATCGGCTAGTGGTGGTAATAAAATTATATTATCTTTAAATATCAATTTAACTTTTTATTAGATAATAATTATCAATTATAATTTTTTTTATTTAGATTTAAGTGAAGCCAAGAAAATTCAAAATCTAATATTTCTATTTTTCATTTTTCATTCCATCAATTATATGAGATGTGAAGCGTAAATAATGATTAATTTTAAATAATAAAAACTTTTGTTAAATCAAATTGTATTTGTAGCTCTAAATTCTGATGTTAAATTGATTGTTTATTTTTATTAGCTGATAACTTAAGATTCTCTGATTCTTAAGTTACATTGGCAGTCACATTCGGCTGGTTTTTCTATGCAAGACAGCATAGATGCAGCGTTTTGTCAGATAAATTGTATTGAGGTAATCATTCACAATTATTATCAATTGATATGTTAATAATGACGGGTTTTTATTATTTCAAAAAAATGTCAAATAATAAAATCATTTTATATAATTATATTTATAATACAATTTAAATAAAATACCTAAAATATTTTATTTATATTTAGCATACTGAAAGAAACTTCTTTTAATTAATAAAACCATAACAAGAATATGATTATCGCTGCCATATTTTTAGCGGCGGCGTTGGCTTATAAATCACTGGTGGAGGCGGATCTGAGCAGTGGCGCATAGGTCTAATTATACGTATTCGTAAAACAAATAATTCAATTTCTTTTTTTTAAAAAAAATTTCAGATTTTTATTTACATAATTTTTTTACATTTTGGCGCAAAATTCATAATCAGACGTAAAATACAATTATGATAAAAATAACTCAATGTCATTTCAAAATAAATTTATAAAAAAAAACATAGGTTTCCCAAATATTTCTGCATTTAAAGATTTGCTATTTTTTGTATTCAACGTCTAAAATAGAAGCTAAGAGGTTAAAAATAGTGGAATTATTTCCTCTTCTATATATTCTTCTAAATATAGATAGGTTTTATTATTTAATTTTGAAATGAACATTGAAAAGTTATTATATAAATAAATTATTCATTACGCGATTAAAATTATATAAAATATATTCTAATCATCATGTGAGATGAGGCTGCCAATGAAGCTGATGCAATTGGCCCTGTGAATAGCTATTGCGAGTCTTTGTCTTAAGAAGAGGCCTTCACGAGGTTCATCTGTTAGTTTGCGGATTAGCGATCCAAGTTCCTTGAAGAAAGAAAGAGCACGATTCCCAAAGGTAGTCAAGGTAGTGGAAATGATGGGAATGAATAAGTGATCTTGGGATATTTCTGAATATTTTTAGAAGCTCCTTGTTCTCCAGAATGTTAAGGGATTGATTGGAAGGAGCCAATGGATCAATACAATAGTAATCCCAGACCAAGAATTGACCTCGCTTCCAGGGAATTTGAGAGATCCCGTCAGGGCGTTTCCCATCAGATCTGAAAAGACCAGAGGGTGCGTGAATAGAAGGAATTTGAGCGGATCTCAGAGCTCTAAGAATTATAGAATTGCAAATGTTATGTCTAACGATGCGGCCTTTACATGAACGACAATGTAGACTATGCCTTCCATTACTCAAAACAGCAGAACTGCAGCCGGCACAGATGTGGGATTGGGTTACTAAGCAATTTAAACGGATGCCTATAGCATGAGTTAGCTCATTTTGGGTCAATTGTAATTGTAAGTTCGCGGATGGAATGGCTTCGAGAAACTCATGTCCAGAACCATTAAGCAGAGAGGAGAATAAGGGACGGTCCAATGATTGCATACTGGAAAGGAGAGATTCGACGCAGCTTGCAATAATGGGCTTATCCCAGTCCTTCTGCTTGTTCGTTTCTGGAATTGGGTGGTCGGCAATGAATCGAGATTTCCATTCAATTATAAAACTATTAAAGGAAGGGTCAGAATTTAAGGAATTAGGATTGACTAAATTTTTGGTTAAAAGACTGCTCGATATAAAGGCAGTTAAGGCAAGATCGGAAGGGGATCTGATGCCTAGTCCTCCCATCTTGGTAGGAAGGGTGGCTTGTGTTTACGCTAATTCATGGAATTTTAGATTAAAAATACTTTCAATTAGGACTTTAATCCCATTTTCATAAATGCCTAAGGAAGTGGGAAATTTAAAAATAGGGGTAGAGCGGAGCGCGTAAAGAATTTTTGGGATATTGAAGAAATTTTTCAGGAGAAAAAAGGCTTTATGAGAGGGGAGAATAGATCAGCCAACTCATTAAGGGTTTCGAGTTATTACATATTCTTACAATAAACATTTATATTAATTTTGTTTTAAGAAATCTTAGATAAGAAATTATAATCACAATCAAAGAATATTAAAGAACTAATTGCATTAAAAGTTAAGATCGACATCAACAACAGTCTTCGATAAATCAATTATTAGGCCTCTTTTAAAAAAAGGCTCGGATACTTAATATTTCAGAACCTTGGAATCTTTCAACAGATTATTGCCTAAAACCTGAATACTATCCACTGGGCCATAGAGAAACCATTTATTGTAAAAGTAACACGCCATTCGTTACCTTCTTATAGAGGTAACGAGTAACGCGTTTCTTTTTTTTAAACGCTAACGCACAACGTTACTTAAAAATTTTTTCTTAAAAAATATGGTAATATTTTATTGTATTATAAAACTATTTTATTTATTTTTTAAATTTTATAAATAAATTGAGCCAAGTTTTTAAGTCAGATTAACCACCGAATTCCTTTATTCTTATTTTAAACTTTCGTTGTTATATTTTCAGTCAAGATTGTTAATCTAATTAATATTGAGTCAATCAAGATATGTTAATCTAATTAATATTGAGTCAACCAAGAACTTATATTCTCATTTTCTAATATTATAATTTATTTTATAAAGAATATTATGTCAATTGTACATATTTCTTCAGATGAAGATGATTTAACCTGCCCTGGCCTCAATATGAAATATTTTACGCACCAATAAAAGAAATTAATAAATGATATATTCAATATAATTTTTTTTTTAGATAATTCGAATAATTGATATTTATGATTTTTAAAAATTTACGAATAATTTTAATTTATAATTCACAAATATTATTTTTTGTTAACAAAAATTTCAGTTTATTTATATTTGGTGATAAGGCATGTCCTTAATTTATTTAAATAAAAAGAAATATGATTAAATTAGTATTTCTTATATAAAATTTATTTTATCTTATATAAGCTAATTTATTTTTTAAAAATATATATTTTATATAAATAAAACATATGTAATATGTTCAAAAATTAAAATCAGATTTTAAATATAAAATATTAAGTAGAAAACTACTCAACAAATTATGTAACTCCCTTAGCAAAATCCAGAGAAAATTATCATTCATTTACGAAAAGCGAGTGTTGTATCAATATTATAAATAGTGAAATAATTGATTATAAAAAATATTTAGCGAGATTAAAAAATAATACAAAAAATATGGGTAAAATTATCAGGAGATTTCCGTCATAACTGAATTAAGCCTAGAAGAGCGCATCTTTTCTAATCGCCTTTCCAAATGACCTATTTTTGTCTCGTATTCTTCTACATTTTGTTTGGTGTCTCTCAACTTTTTGTTATATATTTAAATATTATTTAGAAAAGTCAATAAAATAAAAATAAGTGGGAATTTTGATTTTCTAAAATTATACCTATACCTATAACGAATTATTCGTTACTCGATTCGATTCGTATTTTACGAATAATAAAAATTACATATAAGGAAAGAATATATTATATGAGATTTTTTGCTTATTATTAGAAATTATTTGTAAATATTAGAAATTATTCGTATATATACAAAATTATTATAAAATATTTGAAATTATCCTATATTATTTAACATTTTCTTTGCGGAACCTTTTATTTTTACGTTTTTTAATTTCTAAAATTAAAGAATTCAATTTCCGATTAGAATATTCGATATATCAAATAGAATAATATTTTTATTATTCGTATAAATACGAATCTTGATTTATTTGCATATTCGATTCATATGTTTGTATGTATAATTGAAATTAGTAATTACTCAATTGTGCATGAGTTAAATAATATATGAACATTATTAGTAATAGCAGGTTAAAATGCGTGAAAATTGTGTACCTCTCTTTTAAGTTTTCTATTTTCAGCTTTAAATTCGGATTCACTATTTTCAACCGTTTCTCTGGCTTTCTTTTGGCGCTCACAATTAGCTTCCGATCTTTCCAACTATAAACATATATTAAAAAAATTAGTTGATAAAAAAATATATTCAAAAACATCATATTAGGTTTTTTTATCAAAAAAATTCAAATATGTGTAAAAGGTAATATAGTATATAAACTAGAGATAACTGATTGTAAAATTTTATAGCGACAGACAAAATTATTACATTGGCAGTCATGGTGGTAAGTTCTTGTTCGTAACGTTGTAATTTATATTCATATTCCAATAATTTTCGCCTGGTTTCCTCTTAAAACGGACATAAAAAATTCACATTTAATTTTTATTGAAGTAAAAAATATCTGCCCATAATTAAAAATCAAAATTAAATAAAGAATAAATATTAAACGATAAATTTTTAATTGTTTATTATTTTATGACATTAATTGACAGCTAAATTAATTTAAGAGCTTAGGTAAAAAAAATGAATTATTTTATTTTTCATAAATATACTTTTACTAATTTTAAGCTTATCAAACACAAATTAGACATCAGATCTAAAAAAACATGAATATAACTAACTTATGTCCATTTCAGAGGTCTGGGTTTCTTTATTAGCGTTTAGAGAAGTTTTTATATTTTGAGATAATGTTGGTGAAATTTTAGCTTTAATGCTGAATTCTTTTGTAATTTCATTATCCGTGTCAGTATCGGAAGAATTATTCGATGGCAAATATTTCTGGCGATTCATTTTAGAGGAATTAATTGTTTTATCGGAAAAGGGAATTTGAGCTTGGACTAAGAGATGTTCAAGTTCCCGTGTTTTTGTTTGGAAATCTTCTCGAGAATTTATTAGAATACGAAGACATGAATCTTTTTAATTTGATAGAAAAATGCTATACTATGTTATATGAAAATCATAAAAAACACCAAAAAGGAATATATCATTAATGAACTATAAAATTAGATATATAAATACAATATGATAATAGAATTTCATCAATAGTATCAATAGATCCAAATTAGTTGGACGAGAGGCGAACATAAATGTTTCTAAAAACCCTTTTCTCCATCGTCTTATTTAACGCGAATTTTATAAATAAATGTTTGTAACAACAAATTTATCTATTTTTTGCCGTTTAAAATATTATTAACATTCTAAATAAAACTGTATAATGAAAATACAAAATTCTTATAATATATTAAAAAATAAATAAATTATTTGTAGATAAAAAGATTAATTAAATATATTAACCTAAAGATTCAGAAGTGGTGTTTTTTTTGCTAAAATCACGTAAAATAGATATAGTATCTGTAGTAAGCAGGATTTGAGGTGGCCAAAGGATGCAGGAATCTAATTCATCACGTGAATTATTATCATCGATATTTGTTGGTAATACTGGTGCTAAATATGATTCTGTTTCGTTTACATCAACAATCACCATTCCGGAATTCTTTTAATAAAAAGTTTACAACATGCCAAATTTATTAATTAATATAATGGAAACGTATTATCAGATTTTTTAATTTATGTATTGAGTAGTGATCTCTATTAGGCCGGCCTATTTTTTAAACCCAGACCGATCTGAAATATTTAAAAAAATATTTGTTCAGTCCGGTCTAATCTAATTAAATTTTTTTAAATATTGTCCAGAAAAGCCCGACCTGAAATGTAAAATGATTTTTTTTAAGTTTTTACTAACCTTTTGTTTGTTTTTAATTTTTTATTTATTTATAAAGTATTAGATATCAGGCATTATATTATTATACCCAAAATAAAAGATGGATAGAGCATAGTTTCCTACAAACAAATAAAATGTAATATATTTTAAATAGTAAAAAATTATCTTCTTCATCAACATTTTTCCCACATACACCACATGACCAAGTTTCAGTTTCTTCCTTATTTCTTGGTCCTTCTCCTCCAATCACCAATCATTCGTTCACTTTTAAACTTTATCTAAATTAACATATCCTTTAGCTCTATCTCACTTGTTGCAAGCAGTAAATAATCGTCAGCATATAGAAGTTTCTAAGGTAGTCTTCCCTGCACTTCTCTCGTCACCAAATACATTACTATGAATAATAATGGGCTCATCCTTCTTAATGTAGCCTAATATTTACTTCAAAGATCTCGCTATCACCACCATGTGTTCTAACAACCATTTGGGCATCCTAGTGCATTTCCATCACTTAAGTCCATTTAGTAACTTTATGCGGGACCTTTTCAAACGCCTTCTCGAAGCCTACAAAAGCAAAATAAAGTGCCTGTTTCTTGGCCTCATATATTTATTGCATTTGTCTTCCCATGAAGATTGAATACTTATTTCCCCTCCGGGTGTAAAACAAATCTCTATTACATCGATTTTTACATGATTTCTGTTTCTCTCTTTAAGCTTCTCTCGAAAACTTTCATTCTAAACTCCAGAAGCTTAATAGCTCAATATGAGCCACAATCTAGCGGATCACCTTTTCCCTTGTAAATCGGTATAACTACATAGTACATACACCCCTTTTTTAATCTGCTGGAATACTTTCTTTGAATAGGATCGCATTACATAGTTCTCTATCTATTCCACTCCAATTTCATCAACTGCCTACCACCTTTGTTGAGCCAGTTGCTTTAGCTCTTTTCATTATCTTTAACACTTTCCCATTTTCTTCCCGAATCCAACTTTATCACATCGCACATCTGTATCCCATTCATTTTCCTAATTTAGTAATTTTTCCATACTTCTACGTCTCCTTAATCTCTTTTTTTTCAATAACAACATTCTTAATCGAATTTCACAAACATTGAACCGCCATTACATCCTGTCTCTCTTTCTCGTCCTTTATTTTCAAAGGACATTATAAAGTTTTGATTTCATGGAGCGCACGAATCTAACCATAAAATTTATTTGTCTCCTCAGTTTCCAGTTCATTAACGATTTGGAACCTTTTCAATTCCTGTATCGCCGCCTCCTGGAACCTTATTTTCTAGTTTGTATGCCTCCTTATTGCCCTCCGTCTTTGATTTTTGCCATTTCTTATAACTTCTTTTCTTTTACTCAATTGGCCTTTGGTATATCTAGACGGCCGTTGGCCGGCCGCCGACCTTTTTTGGTTACGCCGAAAACGCCGCCGAAATTTCTTTCTACCTTTTTATTCTAATAATTGGTCAACATCACTCTTGAATTTTTTAATGTCAATCAGGATTTTGATGAATTTTTATTTTCTACTATTTTAAAATCTAAATTATATTGACGTCATTATAGAATTCAATCAATCAAAAATCTAAAATTCCAAAAGTTACCATAATTTTACATATTTTTAAAATGGATGCATCTACTTTAATAATTTAAATAATCTTAGTATCCTAACTCTGGATAATAAAAAATCCATAGTCTGGAAGTTTTTTGCAAAAGAATTAGAGAAATTATTACTGCTCTAAGATATAAAACTGCAGAGGTTGAATTTGAATTCGAGGAATATCAAAGAAAATGCCTAAGTACAATAGATTTAATATCAGACATGTTAGATATTGACAGCATTGATCCATACCCGGTTTCAAATTGGCAATTCAAATGATAATAGTAACAATAATTCCAAGCATATGAAAACCTTAAAATTAAATATCCCAACACATTGGCATAGTATATTAATTATGCTAGAAAGCATATCTAGATTAAATAAGAATTTAATTAATAATGTTTTGAAAAGAATTGGGAAATCTCAAATTATCAAATTATGAATCTGATCTAGTAGAAGAACTATTAGCATTTCTTTCAAAATTTAAAGAAACTGTCGAATTTCTTTCAGTACCAAAAGGGCCTACTTTAAATTTGGCGTTACTTTTTAGAAGTGAAATTGAAACACATTTAATAGTAAATGATAGTGATAGTTCTGAAATTATTTCACGTTACGATTTCCGGTTTGTAATCTGCAAGTAATATTATATAAGTATATTCTTTTATTTTTTATTTTCTCTTTTAGATCCAAGATTTTAAAAATTGACAATTGTGTCAAAGTATTTAATAAAGCAAAATTGCTCAGCTTAGAATTTATAATAAAACATCATAAACTTATAGAGAATGATGATAATCAGGCAGTTATAAACATAGAGAATGATGATAATCAGGTAGTTATATATAGCTAATGAGGATGAAGATGAATTATTAAATTCAAATTATTTGACAAAATTGGCAAATAAACATTCAACAAATATAAATTTTGATTCCAAGTTAGGTGACTTAGAACAAGAATGCCACAGTTTTTATGGAAAACGACATTCACAAGATATGGAGGTTCTAAATTTTTGGAGAGAAAAGAAGAGTGAACTTCCCAATCTTTCCAGGCTCGCCAAAAAAATTCTTTGCATTCCGGCGACTAGCACACCTAGTGAAAGAGTTTTATCTACCGCTGGATTGACGTTAAATTCAAGAAGATCATCATTATGTCTCAAAAATTTAAATAAAGCAATACATGATATTTAAATTACGAAATCGATTTTGGATATAATAAGTTTTCTATTAAATGAATATTAAAAAATATGCCGAGATATATGTAAAAAAGTGTATATTTATTTGTTTTTTTGTAAAATTAATAAGCAATTAAAAAAAATTCATATATGCGTCGATTTTATTGACGGCGGCTAAAAATCGGCGCGTCGCCGGCCGTTTATTAGATTTTTAAAAATTGCGCCGGCCGCCGAAATTTCGTCGGCGCATAGGTCTAGGTAAATCCAATTTCGACCACCATGTCTCTTTGTGTTTAATAGGTCCCTTACTGCAAATCTCTTCCGTAGTTTTCAGCAATACCTTCTTCATTGCTTCTCATGTCAGATGCTTCGGCATAATTCTCGGCCAGGATCATTATAAATTGACTTACAAACTTTATGCCTTGGCACATAATTCCTTCTGATTTTCTCACACCTTTAACCTGGAGGTGTACAATTAAGCCAATTTCTCCTTACCAATAAATAATCCACTATAGTTTTTGCATCACTAAATTCATAAGTCGTCAATTTGCTTTTATCTTTCTTGAAGAGTGTGTTACATATAACTATTTCTATAGCATCACCAAAATCTAGTATCTTCTCTCCTTTTATATTTTACATATCAAAGATAAAGCCTTCATAAACTCCTTCATATCCTTAAGCATGTTCTCTAACAGGTCCATTTAAATAGCCATCTATCATAATTGCCTCCCCATTTGGCACACCTGATATCATTTCTAACAGTCTGTGCCCAAAAAATTCTTAGTTTTCTCTCCTAACTTAAGATGGAATGAGATCATGCTAAAAAAATCTTTTATCAGACTTTTAATATTCGATCTTTATTTTCGCATCCAATGTTTTACGGCCCATTTCTCCGCAACAAGCATACCAATGCTAGAATTGCCCTTATTATATACCGCCAGAAAAACTTGTATTTTAAACCCATACCGCCAATCATTCTAGTACTTTTTCCATCTTGTCTCTTGTATACAGCATAAGAGAAAATAAGGGATTTTTAATAGTTACATCTCTTTTTATGTTTGCAATATATAGATTTGTATTCATTATGTTTTTTTGTAGTTTTGGTGAGTTAAATTAAAATAAAGCAATAATCCAATAATTTGTCTTAAGTTGACTAGAATAAAGTTAGTAATAAAAAGCAATAGTTGAAAATTAAGTAGTTATATAACTCAAAAGAATAGTATAAATAAAATATTTAGCAATTAAAAATCTAAAATAATTATAAAATATAAACATAACTCATCTTTTATTTGGTTAAATAATAAGGGTTTTTAAACATTTTCAAAATTTAAGCAAGGCCCGGACATTTTTTTAAAAATATTAGGTCCTACCTCGTCTGAAATTGATTTTCAAAATTTCTAATTGATAGAATCTATGGTAACCAAGAAAAATTTTAGATTTCAAACTCACCCAGGGGCCGAGATGGTGGCTCAGAATAAAAATTAGTAGATAAATTTATCAATTTTTAAAATGTAAATTTCACTAAACCCTGTATTGCATAGTGTGAATCTCATTCCACATATCACAAATTATATAAATATCTTATAAATAAATTGTATGGTTTGTAATTGAAGCCAAAATCTGTATCTTCGATTCAAATGCTAATTTGGGCCACGTGATCTATTATATATTTTTAATTTCGCATTTTATTATGCCCTATTTTTAAAAAATGGCTATTTTTAAAAATGGTATTTTTATAAAATTGTCTACTCAATTTTCTACACATCGGGAAAAGATAAATAAAATATTTGACAAATTTCAAAACATTAAAATTAGATAAATAAAAGTTAAAAATAAATGTTTAAGAAATTATTTTATATTTATTTATTATTTTTGATAATTATATTTTGTAATGATCATGCATGGTTTTAAAGCCCCATTATGTAATTAAAGTATTTAATTTGAGTTTAATATTTTTAGAATTATGAATTGTGCTAACATACCTAACAATTTTAAAGATTTAAATTTAAGTCTGATGAGGAGTTTTTATAAACACAAAATAATGATTTTGAAGCAATATAACACTCAAAACATAAAATAGGGCTATAAACTCTTTTTAATATTCGGAGATGATAGCCTTCTGCACAATTATTAAGTATATATTAGGAAAATACTACCAGCGGAAGGATTGCCTGATGTTGGAGCAAGTGACAATGTGTGCTCCTTTTAATTTCTTATATGCCGCAGCAAATTAATTATAAATTCTTTTTTGATACTAGTTTTGTTCCCCAAATTAGCAGGCCGTACTCGCTCAAAGAGGGGATATTTTGCGCGGCTATAGTCAGAAGTAATCGACTTCCAAATATCAACTTCCCAACAGTTTAGGAGTTGAAAAAAAGGGCGAGGATTTTTTTTATTTAAAAAAACAATAATAAACGGAGTAAAGCTAAATTCAGTGAAGTGGCACGACAATCGTGCTGTGACTTAATTAAGCATTTTTGTAGGTGCACATCCACTAATAGACTGTGAAGGATATGATAGAAAAAAAAGGATAAAATCATGATAAAATGTCCATATTGTTAAAATTTATAATAATGGATTCTATACTTTCTTTATATAGAATTCATACGAAATCAAGAAAAGAATTTTACATATATTTGACATGTTATAAATTCATGGCTACTATATAGACATGATTATAATTGTATATCAATAGCATACAAAGATCAATTTAGTTTGTACAATTTCAAAATTTCGGTGGCGGAAGTCCTTAGCAAATATGGCAACTTCAAACAGTGTACCAAAACGAAAGTCAGTTCAAGCTGGTGATCGAGAAAAATGTAAAAAAGGACCGGAACAATATTAATCAAATGAAGAGGTTAGGAAAGACCTAATGGCTTTTTGTCCCAAATATAATGATAAGAAGGGTAGATGTAAAATGCCAGGATGCTTATTTACAACAAAAGTATCTTGCAAAAAATGTGGTGTACATTAATGTTTTACGCCCAAAAATAATTGTTTTATAGATTATTTAAATAAAGTTATATATATAGTTTATAATATAATAAAAATTATTGTGGAAAAAATTGAAACTTATTCCTTAATTGCATAATGTGTATTTTAATACACATACCGTTCATCTTCTAAGAAATTTAGAATTTTTTTTAAAAAAGTGAGCCATGATATTATTAATAGTATCGAGAGAAAGAAAAAATCTAGTTTGGTTAAAAAAAATTATTCTAACATAGTGCATGCAATACAGGGTTAAGATTATTGTGATAAAATTATTCAAAGTAGCTCAATACTTTAAAATTATATATAAATTTAATTGACCAAAAAAATTGAGCTAAAATTGGACATCGTTATAAGATTAATTGATACTTTTCGTTGATTTTTTTATAAACGAAATTGATATTCGATTGAAATTACATATTTAAAAAAAATAGGATATATTTCACAAGATTTGGAGTTATTATAATGCAAAGGGATATAGATCAGCCCAGTTAACAAATAATATTATAAATTAAATGCATACTAACTATAATGAGTTGATCCCTTTTGATTATTTGTTCTTTGGCACGCTTTAACTCTTCCGAAGAGGCTTGGTGTAATTTACGCAATACTAAAAGTTCCTAAATAATCATTTCAAATCATTTATATAACACAAAAAACCTTAATAAAATATAAAAGATTTTGAGGCTCTAAAAATAGAATTAAATGCTCACTTTATATAAACACGAGTTTTGAAGATAGAATGAAAAGATTAATCGATAAAATAATTTAGCAATGCAAATTTAAATGTTTTTAACATTGTGTTCCCTTTTGCTATCTCGTTCCAATTGAGAATTTTTTAAGCCAAAATCGTCGACGTCATCTTTGAGAGTTTCAATCTGATATTTGTAGGATTCAATTTCGTTCGATAATTCGGCGTTCGATATCAAGGAAGAATTATATTTCTTTTCTAGGTCTTCATATTTCTATATTAAATGAACAATTTTTATAAATATATTAATAGCCACATAAATTTTATTATGTAACTTAAAAATATAGTGAATTCACCAGTATAACAGATATATCCTAATTACTCGATGTATACTTAGAGATTTAAATAATTGATTCGATTTCGAACTTAATATTTGAAATCTAGACTTTTTGACAACATATTCTTAAATTTCGTGAAAATATAAATAAAACCAAAAAAATTATGAGCATTTAATTGGTCTTTTTTATTGGAACAAATCTTGGCCTTTTGAAAATGTACTCGGCATGAAAGAGTAAAAAAATTATCATATTTATGAAAAAACTTTAAATTCATAATATTATTCAAATCTAATTAATCAGCAAAAAATAACACAATTTCTCTATAAAATATACCATAATCAAGGTTTCTAGGTCGTTTTCTACCCTGATTTTATCACCATTTTGCCCATTGTTTGGCGCATCATAAACATTGCTGTCTACAATCTCGTTTGATTCAATGTCTCTCTTTTTGCGATTACTGTTAGAATGATTGAGAGATTCGTCTTGATCGATCTCTTCAGAATTTGAAACAGGATGGTCATAGTCGTGATTGAATTCGGATTCGTATTGTTGATTAAAATGGAGATTGGAATCGTACATTTGGGCCGATGAGTTGTCATCATTGTTATGATGACATAAGGATTCACATGAAGCGTAACCGTTCGTCAACTCTTCCTGGTGATTAAAAAATTTTTATATTCTACTGTACTTTTTTTATCTAATAGCTTTTTATATAAAAAAATTTAAAACGCTTAACTATTTTAATTCGACTCCGCCTTCTTATCTCAAACTATTATCTATCTAATATTAACCATGTTTGAAATCTAATTTAGAAAAAAATGGAAATAATTTTTCTTAAATATATACTATATATATATTCGCATAATCTAAAAAATGTATAATATAACATTATGCAAAGCATTTTGTTAAAGGATCGCCGATCCTGGATTTGAATTGTCTGGATCGACGATCCTTTTTAAAAATGAGGATAGTGCGAGATCCTTTCAATATTTATTTTTTACTTTTACACAAAATAGAATTAAAATCTATCTTCGTCATATTTTAATGTCCATCAAAATCTACATTAATTCCAGGTGGATTTTTCTTAAAATTTTAAACCAGAATATAATTAACTCAGAGCAGGGTTTTTAGAGAGAGCGATATTGTTGCCAAAAAAATAACAAAAAGTTGGAATTAGTGGATCTCGAATTTCGATTATATTTTATCTGCTGATATCCTCAATAATTTTGTCACCATATATCGACCAAAGCACAAGCCGGTGCTATAATAACCGTATTACAACGACCATTGTATAAAAAGCTGAAAATTTAAAAGAATATCAATGTTAACATTGCCAAATGTTCAGCCGATTAACAAACTGAATATATTGCCTATAATGGCGGATATTCTTTTAGAGAAATTTCCCTAAAAGACTAGAAGGAATTCTTAATATCAGCCTGTCAAATTAATGGATAAGATGCCTATGGGGGTGTGAGACTGGGGGAAGTTTGTGATGAAATCGGATTTAAGATGTTTAAACAAGAGTAATGTTTATTTATTAAAGAATATATTTTATAACGAGAAGATAAAATGAGCAGAGGATTGATAACTGGTTATGGCAATCCTAATACATAAATTGAGCAAATTTGATTGTTTATGGTATCGCCAGCCCCTCATCGTGCCTTCTTAGAAGTATTGATAAACGGTCTTAAATTATCAATTTGGTGCAATAATTTTTTTATTTGTATGAATCCTTATTTTATAATATTTATTAACTTTTCTTAATAAAGATAACCTTTTACGATGACCGCAATATTATTGTAACAACAATGACCCACCCAAGATTCAAGTTCAACTGATTATACATTAATCTGGCAATGAATAAGCTTTTAGAAAACAGTCTCATTACTCATTTGGAAACCATCTCAACCAACCATAGCAAGATTCAAATTCCAATGATAATTTGAATGAGAGAGAAACTTTTTTGGGTAAAAATTTATCGCAAAATGCTAATTCACTTAATAGATATTTTTGTTCAAATGTGAAATCAGTTAGTATTTTTGAATTATATAAATTTGTAAAAAAATTTATACAATACATCTTTGCCATCATGTATTCCAGCAAAATATGTTCTTAATGGTGTGTAGAAAAAATCTTATTATTAAAGGTTTATTTAGAAAATTATAACATTTTTTAAAAATATTTTAACAATTTATTATAAAATAATATTATATAATTAAAAAAAATAACTTGTTTACAATAAATTATTTGCATTGGGCATGAATTTTCTTCAGGTTTTTTAAAATAAGTTTAGATTATAAAGAAAAATGTATCATAGAAAAAACTGGTAAGGATCACGATCTTTTAAAATCGATCCTTGATCACGATCCCTTTATTGAAAAGATCGTGATTCGACCCTTTTAAAGGGATCATTTAACAAGCCTGATTATAGTATGTTCATATATACAGAAATTTATCAAGGCTATAACTAGGGGAGAGGGCAGTAGTGATCTGCAAAATTTGGGCCGGGTCGGGCCTTGAATTTTTTTTTAAAAATATATTTTAATTTATCAATTTTATGTTAAATTTTTTATGTAAAATAAAAATATTTGATTTTATTTATAAAAACTAAACGCCATATAACATATATCTTTTATTTTGAGTAATTATAAAAATTTTAAATAAATTTGGGCCGGACCGGTAATTTTTTTAAAAAAAATTCGGGTTAAGGCAGGACCGGCAAAATTTTATAAAAAAATTTCGAATTCAGGCTGGCCCTGCAAAATTTTTTAAAAAATATTTCGAGCCTAGCCGGGCTTAAAAAATTAGGCTTTAGATCACTAGAGAACAGGGGGGGGGGAGTATCTAGGGTATAGTCTCCTCCCCAGAGATATTACATTTAAAAGTGAATCACATTAAAAATGCTTATTACCTAATTAAATTATTTATTACAAATTTGCATAAATATATATTACCTTAAAAATTATTTTCTAAACTATTCATGAATCTCTTTCTAAAAATACCTAGCGTAAGAAAGAGATAACAATGCTCACATTATCTTATTTTAAATGTTGTGCCCCCCCCCCTCCAGTTCGAGTCACGATAACATTTACAATTTAATCTGGCTTTTCACTTTTTAAAAATATATGTTCTTTATGGAATTTATAAAAATTAATTTAAAGGATTGAATTAATTAGATTTAAATACAAGTATTTAATCCCCTAGTATCTATTAATATTAATTTCAAATTTACTTTAAAAATTTTCTAGGAGATATAAACCAGGTTCCCAATTTTTAGCGATTTTTGTTTTAGCGATTTAGAACGGGAACCGTTATTTTTCATAATATCCTTCCTTAAAACTAACACAAATTGACTATTTTTTAAAAATTTTTACACCGTTTTTAAATTTTATCGTTAATTAATTTAAATTTTAGTAAAATTTGTTTCCAACTCTAAATTAATATTTTAAAAAAATTAGAAACCAATAATGTGTGAGATCGAACGCGAAAAACTTGGAATATTTTTTATACATTCAAGAAAATCTCGAAGACAATATTGATAGATATTAGAAGAGGTAATACTTTAAATTATTTTTTTTTAAAAATCCCAATTTGGAAATTTTTATTAGAAATATCTAAAAAAAAACTCCATATTTTACGATTTTTTAAAAACAATCTATCAATATTATTATCGAAATTTTCTAAAATATATATATGCAACATTCCCAGTTTTTCTTTCCCTGCGACTTCGAACCGAAACCAAGTATTCGTATTTAAAAGGGATACTTCCGACATGCCAATTTTTATAAAAAAAATCGTGAAATATTTTATTTATAAGTATATTATTTTATTTTAAAAAAACTAACATACTACAAATTCATTGGCTATGAAATTTTTCATAAAAAACAAATTAAATTATTTAGCATCTTGCAAGTCGTAACCTGTTATTGTACTTATATTATTAACAACTATCCTTTCAAATAATAAATATAAACCAAAGTAAATATCTGATTTTATACATAGTACTCAGCTAAAGATAATTCATTTCTTCAAGATTTTTCAACCGTAGAATTGTTAGCTAAGTGAAATGTTTTTGAGCCAACATCATCGACCATTTGTTTCAAGGAAGGAAGATTCGCGGTTCGGTTCGACACAGGGTTCAGTAAGCAAAAAATCCATTTAAAAATATAATAAAACATCCATTTCATATTGCGAAATGTTAAAAATATTATTTTGAGCTACTATAATTTTGTTTGTATAAAAGTCAGTGTTGTCATCAGACGGAAAATTGCAAAAAAAGCGCTGCCAATTAGCGCCCTAAAAGCTACCAATTTCAAAAAAGTGATTTCTTCAAATATTATATATCATTTGTGATTATTGAAAAAGACACCCTTAACAATATTATCAATTATAAAGAACTTCTTCCTCTTCTAATATAATATCGTTTCATCACTCTTTATACATCCATTTAATTTATGGGCATATTTTTTTAATTATTTATATCAGATAGACGATTGGATTTACAGTAATAAAACATTTAAAAAATAAAACAATGTGTTTATATTTTTGCACATTACTTACAAAATAAATAATATAACAGTAAGAACTACATAAGCTAAAAAAATTTACATCAAATGTATATTAATATGGTATATAATTTTAGTTTTTACATGTTATATATTACGTAGAGGTCTGCAAAGTAATTTTTAACAGCCCGAGCCCGAATTAAAAAAACATTTTTGTTCGAGCCCGACCCGAGCACACATTTTTTAGTCCAACCCGACCCGAGCTTGAATAAAATTTTACAATTTGAGTTGAATATTATAATAACCAAAAATAAATTGTGTATTTATTCATCGCCACCTTAATTAAAATTTTATTTGACGGCCATGATCTAATCAAAATATATATTAAGTTGAATTTTATTTTATTTGATTTGTAAAAAATATTATAAAAAAGTTAAAATACAATCGAATCTAAAAATTATAAAAATATTTTCATATATTTGTTATCAGCACATCGACCCTTTTTCATATATGCGTTTAATTTTGGAAATAATTTATTGCGTATACCATCAACAGTGTCTATTAAATTTCTAGAATTTGTCGTGACATTTGGAATGATGATTTTAACATCAATATCATATATTGAGCCAATTTGCAACAATCAACAAAGCCATCCCGAATTGCATCAAATGATCTCAAATCACGTCCACAAAACATGATCTTTTTTTAATTTGGCACAATTGAGTTTTATGGGATCAGTACCAAAAAGGCTATCAATTGTTAATTGAGTCTTTTTACTCTCTATTGTAAATATGCATTTATGCCTTTTTAGTTGATTTGTGCCTAAAATAATTTCATAATATCATATTTTTATGTATGTTGTTATAGAATTATAAGTTGAAAAAATTGTAACTTACATAATTAGTTTTTCTTTGTTTTCATCATATTTAAATGAAAACGTTTTCCAGACCGCAGATTTGCCATTGGCATTTTCCCTTCCTTCATATTCATTGTTTATAATCTTTTCACCAATTTTTTTTAATTTGGCATCCATTGAAATAATTTTTTTAATATGAAAATATGAGGCTATTTAATTAAATAGATATTAGTAAAATATATTTTATTTAACTTGATAGAATATGATGAAAGTAAAGTATACAATAATATCGC